CTTATAATGGAAAATAGATTTAACCATCGCATTACCCTTAACACTTTTTCGCGACAAAGCCATCCCCTGTTTAAGGACCTCCAATCACCTTTCTCGATCGCATCCTCAGTTGCCTCGAGGATTCCACTTCGAAAATCATTAAGCTACCTTATCACACGTGTCCAGGTTGCGAAACCTCGCGCAATCCTGATCCTCCGAGAAATGCACAGGCCGGTGTAAACAAAGCCAGCAGTGAGCCTCAGGGAAATGCATGGAGCTTCGGCAAGACTTTACAAGGAGCTATTACCGACAGGAGCGTGATTTCTTTTCGCTGCTAACTTGTAACAAGGATAACAATAATAATAATAATACAATGATAACGATGAGAATAATGCCAATGATAACGACCAATCGAAACTATACGGTCTCGAAGTGCAGAGGGTCCAGCGGTTTTTCTACCGTTACCTTACCCGTCCTCTCCTCCCCGTTCAATTATTCACCCTTTGAGTCCCCTCGAAGAATTATTTTATACATGCCGCTCTCGCGTACCACCTTTTCTTTTTACTAAAGAATAACAATATAATTCATACTGTTTAATGATAATGACGTCATACCGTGTCTCGTCATACCATGGAGTGATTATACGCATTCGCTCGGGGGGTTGTTTTCCTTTCCTTATACTCGCTGATAAATAATTGTACAACTTACATCAATAATAAACCCTTCGAACGATCCTGCTGGCAAGAGACGGAACTAGGTAAGTCGTCGTACTTAAACTCTATATTGCGCTCGTGTGTTTGAAATTATTCATCAGGACTCTCCTTCATTTGGTTCCTTCGTTCCCTTCGCCCACTTTGGATTTTCAATTAAATATCGCTATTGTATTCCGACGAGTGACGTTTAACGTGCTATTTCCTTCAACCAGGACGTCCCACCGTTTGCTTGTATTTTTTTGCAGAGCTGTATTACTTACTTCACGAGCAAATGTATTTCTGTGACGTATAGCCCGAAAAAAATCGGGTAGGCACGTTCTATGTGTAGGAAGCGAAAGAATTTTTTTATTCACTCCCAGAATCACTTTGATCGTTAATATAATTTTATTTTTGAGTCTCCTGCTGATTGCGTTATTAAAACATGTCTTTCATGCCTCGGTCGCTCAACCTACTCGCATTGTTTCGGATACAGGAGTACGTGCTCTTTTATTGTTTCTTTTGACGTTTGGCTCTCGTATACGAGAGTCCATTAATTTAATAGCAGCGGATCCACGAACTGTACGTTTATATATTTCTCTCGTGCAGTAAGTTATACATCACAGGAATGCGTGTAATCCTTTGACGCGGGTCGACCGTCCGCGTCCCGTAGCGCGACGACGTTAAGTTATTCGTACCCTTTGGCATGAAACGGACAAATCTGACTGTTTGTATCCGGTGTGTGTTGGACAGAGGAAGAATTGTGCTGAACGGAGGAAAGTTACGTAATGGAATTATAAAAAAAATTAATTGTAACAAATAACGGCGTCAACGAGGATCAAAACGTTCGAGGAGATTACGAGGAATTTGATTTTGGATTTATTTAAAATTTTTACACCGAAGGTGGAAGAAATTTTTCTTTTTTCCTTACATACGTATTTATACATACTGTATATTTTCGGTCTGATGCCAAGTTGATAATTGAATTGACTTTTAGTCTGTTACGGTAATGCATTTGGTCTCCAATCAAGTAGCTTCCACGGGACGATGCCTGTCTTCGACATAACCTCAACGATCATTTGGACCGTCCTTGGCAAAAGTTTCGTCCTTCGATCCTCCTCGGGTGAATTTACTGATCAGACTGGCGCGACCTGCTCGTAAAATCGCGGAATAACTTCCGATAGGAAGAATTCGCCTTTAGGAATTCCATCGCGAATTCCCACAGGGAACCGAGTGACTTTCCGTCGGAATTCTCGTCGCTCTGACTGTACAGCGCGCAAACTACATTCGCCTTTGGATTTGTGATCGTGAATCCATCGAGCGAGACGGTACGCGGAGCAGAAGGATAACAGGCTAAGCGATGGGAGGTTGAAGGGTGGTAGAGAGAGAGAGAGAGAGAGAGAGAGAAAAGTAGATATCAAGTGTTAGGAATGAGGTAGGAATGCAGGACTAGGAATGTGAGAAGAGGTAAAATAAATGAAAGTAAAAAGTTGTGAAAAGTAGATATCAAGTGTTAGGCGAGACGGTACGCGGAGCAGAAGGATAACAGGCTAAGCGATGGGAGGTTGAAGGGTGGTAGAGAGAGAGAGAGAGAGAGAGAGAGAGAAAAGTAGATATCAAGTGTTAGGAATGAGGTAGGAATGCAGGACTAGGAATGTGAGAAGAGGTAAAATAAATGAAAGTAAAAAGTTGTAACCGCGAATAACAATGTCAACCGACGTGATTGTGGCGGTTAAATGAAAACGAAGTAATTACAATTGCGAGTATTTACATAATTTGGGTCGCACGCGCGTTGCTCGTAATGACTCGGAGCAGGCAATCACATGACAATCTTCCATGAAAATCTTGCATACCAAGTAGACCAACTGGTACTAACCTCGACGTGAAAAAAGATCGCAGTCTCGCGAAGTACCTACCTATCACAACGTAAATAATCGTAGTTATGGACATTTCGAGTTTTAAAGATTTATCGTACTAAGAGGGCGCTGCTGCACGTCATCAGAGTCAGCGTCGCACCTACGACGAGACTCGGCGCGTCCGACGTCTTGCGTCGCAATATAGCTGCCATCTTGTCACCTGTAACACATCGAAGAGACGATAAGTCGATTTGGTCCGCGAGTAAGTAATGGAATTATAGGAACTTTTCCACGGGAGGGAATATACCGAGTCATAAATGCCCAGAGGATCAACTCGGGCACCGAGGTCGCCGTCGGCTTTGCGCCTTAGCCCAGCTTCAATTTTTTTACGACTTTTTCTTCCCCTGGCACAGAACCGCCATTTTCCAGAAGCCCACCGACCCACGCTTAAATATCTTATACCTCCGGGTACATTCCTTATTTACGTAACATCCTCAAGACTCCCACTTCTGTATACCCAGACTGCACTGCGCGCGATCCTCTTACGTTGGTCTTATTCCACGTGAAGGGGATACTGAAATATATATATATAATAAATGTAAAAGCAGTTTTCATCCCTCATTCGCAGCCTCCGACAAGGGCAGCAGGACCAGTTTCACCCTCCGCCCCTGTAATTAAAATAAAAGTCAGCCCACAGCCGATCCACGATCCCCGCCACGCACGTGTAGCAAGAAACGTTTGCAAAGCTCCCGTGCGCCACGTGAACTGCCGGAGATCCAACGAAGATTCCTCGAGAATCCGAACGATCCTGGATCCTCGGGCGGGGCGGGGCGGCGCGAGGGATTCTCGTGCGTTGAATTGGTTTAGTCGGCACGATAAGCTGGCAAATCCGATTAAGCTCTCGTTTCTCGAGTAACGATATTCGTTGGCGGTTACATCGCCTTCTACGATTCCATCCTGCAATCTCCTTTCTTCTCCCCCCGGCCGCCCCGCCCACTCTCAGACGCCCGCAGCATCGATTACGTTCCAGTTACCTTCAGCTCTGAGAAACGGCGACTATACTTTAACGATAGCTTATATATCCCATATCGTAGAGTCGGTACGATCTGTGCAATATAACCGTGGCTATTACATGCGGGCATTACATTTCGAAATTTCAAACCCGTGGAATACCGAATCCGGCAAAGGGTTGAAATTTCACGTTCTCGCCAGAACCACCCAGCTTTCTCCTTTTGTTACGCCGCTTGTTTTCCTTCCGGAATAACGTTCAGTACGTACGAGGGTCGATACGAGGCCGTTAAACATTATTGGTGCATTTCGCTGGAACAGGAATGCATAAGGGAGAAGCAAGTTTTTGACATTTTCCTAGGAGGATATCCCGTGTACGTATCGGAGCTATCCGGACTGTATCAGGATTGAGAATTTAATTGGTTGGCCAACGACCTCATTGTAGACTAGAGGTAAAGCGGGGCTGAGCACGTTGAAGGGTATAAAAAAGAGAATTGGAGGCAACGGTTGAGAATCAAAGCGGAGAAGAGGTGGCTACCCTGTTTATATAAGTGTATAGTTTACTCAGGGATAAAAGCTGCAGAGCCATCGTCGCCTAAGGGGCTTCCAACTCCTAATCGTAGCATTAAGTAGCAGTAGGAGTACCTTTAATGCCATTACTATCGTTATCCCCGTTCTCGCCTAAACCGTACCTCCCGGATCGCATTAACCCTAGCAAGTAACTTTTCCCTTCCCCGCGTCGACCTCGCCGCCCTTCGTATTCATTACGTTTTAACCGCCGCAAACTTTTGATTACAGAGCCATCGAGTGTCCACCGCCAGTCACGGAGTACAAACATTGCCCGTCATTCTTCTGCCAGGGCCTTCCGCCTGAAGCGGCACGAGACTCCTCAGAATCCTCAAGGAGCATCCACAACGTACTTTGGATGTATCGTCGAGTGGAAGCGAATTCCCGGAGTGTCCCTTACGTCCATGCTGACGTTTCTCAAGGTTCGACTTGCGACTCGACTAGCTCCTAGACTCGATAGCGCAAGTTGTCGGCCTTACGCCGACAGAGGGCCAAAGGGGCTGAAGAGATTGGCACCTTGAAGGGAGTGGCACCAGCGAGTCACGCTGTGCAGCCTGGAATCATACTTGCCTTCCGTGACGAAGACGAAGATGGAGGCAGGCTTGGTGTTCGAGGCGGTGCACGTGTAGTTGCCCGTGTCCGATTCGACGGCTTGTCGAATAGTCAGCTGACTCTGGGTTGGTCCTGGTTTCGTTTGTACAGTGACGCTGCCGCGCGCAGCGTCGTAGTTTATCATCCGGTTATTGTGATACCAGAAAACGTATTGCGGCGGTGTTGGACTCTGAAATGTGAACGGACAAGAGGAAGGGATTAATAACACGTATACGAATTAGGCACGTTAATTATTTCGCATTTTCGTTCACATTATTCGTTACTATGGACCAAAGAGTTTTCTTTTAGTGGATAGAAAGCATGGTTATTCTTGTTCTCTGTTATTTGAGTATACTGACAAAATGGGAGGTTTCTTTTTTTGAGAAAGTAAATCTCAGACTCGTTTCCGGTTCCTGTCTCACCCATCTCCTTCTACGCTTCCTTTTCCAGCCTCCCCGCCAGGCACTGATCCTTATGGCTACTATTGATGACGTTTATCGACTCGTGAGATTCGCCGTTGAGAGAGAGAGAGAGAGAGAGACTACGTCACGGGCCTGAGGGACTTTGGTTCCTCACTCGTCCGGTCCGAATCGTAGGTGTAATAAGTTGTGCGCCGCACGCAGCAAATCCAAAGTTTCCAAGCGTCGCGACAGCATTTAAGTGAATCCGCAAAGGCGACGATTTCAAAGAGAAACATACGCGGAATGAAGATTGCATTGCTGCAAATGCGTAGGGAGACGTTAAGCAGCAGGTAGTAGCAGGTGCTCCCTTCCTGCTGTTTCCTAGATTCCCAACTCTTTTTCTCCCTCGCTTTTTAACTTCTCGACCCGAGAGCTTCTATACGCCGGAAGTCGCAAAGGTGAATTCGCTCAAATGTTCAAACTCAGCAAGTTGCGGTTGCCGAGGGGCTTGGCGCAATATTCTCTCTCTCTCTCTCTCTCTCTCTCGCACTCGCGAGAGAGAGTCTTCGTCGCTTTCTCTCCGTTTCCATTCCCCTCGCCGGAAAGGGAAGACGAGCGAAATTTCGAGAGGAAGCACCGGCAGCGCACACGTAATCGTCCTACCAAGTAAAACAGAACAGAACGGAATATAACACTCGGCACAATATCGAATATTGACTCGATCGACTTCACGTCGCTTCGAATCCATAATGTCCTAATTTCCCTTACCTCCCGGTAACCTCATCGTTTCCGATTATTAACCCGTTAACCGTAAGATTCCCGCTTCCTGGCACGATCCGACATTTATTTCCCAGTTCAGGCTGTTTTCACTGTCACGAACAGCCATGTACATCGTTCCCTCTGGACTCTTTTCGATCCCCCTACTTCCCGAATCAGAACGACAATTGAATAAGGTATCTTCGTGAGCTTCCAAGATCTTTGACTTAGCCATAATCGATACCGAGGAACTGGACTCTGAATGAGAAACCTACCACCGCCGTCGCTTTTCTTCACTTAGGCCAATTAGATTAGGTCTAGAGTAGCTTTTCCATTTGGACCCTGGACGTGACTGGCTTAATTTTACGATGATTTTCCTGGGCGAAGATGAGTCCTGTGCTTCTGGATGACGAGGACGCTGCCAGTAGACGTGGCTTCCACCGAACCGGATATCGCGTTGTCGAATGTCAAGCTGCCCCCAAGTTTTCGACGTTCAAAAGGAAATCCGAGCCAGGGACTTGATCTTGTCGCCCTCTCTGCCCCTCGGCACTTTTATTCTTAGGCCTTCTCCACCTTCTCCACCTTCTCCACCTTCTCCTTCGCTTAACTGGATTTCTCCGTAGCGACCGTCGAAGCTTAGCAATTCGATGCGAAGCCCGAAAGTCAACGGGCCACGTGTCTGCTCGTGGACAGAGTCTGGGTGGCGATACTGCGCTCTTCGTTAAATCTTTTCAAAGTTTAAAGGTCCCATAGAAACTTCGAGGACTGTTCTGCGAACTCGGCAGGTCTTTGCGTTGCTTTCACGTGTTCAGACAGTCGACAATTGCCGGCTTAAATGTATCCGAGAGGTGGCTCCGCGATGTACATACAATTTGCGATCGTTTAATTAATATTTCGTATTCAATCCTCGTGTTCTGCAATTTCATAAATACATGCATGCACGTCCGTACACGCGGATCCACTGTGTATACGGTTATAACCTCCTTGCGACACGACTCCTCCCTCCGACTTGTAATCGAATAAGTTCACGATTCCACTGGGCTCGACTTTACGATTCGCTCGGATAAACACACTCGAGAGCTCCAGCCGTTCACTTCTCCCGCAGATACACTTTGCAGCCGTAGATCGATCCCTCGTCAGTCTCTTTATTTTCCAATCCTTCGTTTTACCTTTATTACAGGTACTTCGTTTTTAGCTTACTTCAGACCTTTTCATGCAGTCAAAACATTCGAATGCGAATGGTCATTAAAACTTTAATATTTCCACCGGGTCAACTTAATTCGAGCCAGCGGAAGATTTATCGAGGTGTAAGTGGCGCCGCGGTACGCCGCGGCCGTTTACGGAATCACGATATGTTCCTTGGAAAAGCGTTATTGTTTTCCCGAAACCCATCGGAACCTGTACAAATCCTCGACTAGATTTTGTGAGCTAAACATATCACGGGCTGGTATCGACCATTTTCTCTTCTCCCTTTCTCCCCCCTCCTTATTCACTCACCTACACGTCCCAAAGGAATACGTACACCACGAATCCAACCGCATACGCAGACTCTTCCTGTATCTCTCTCCTTGGGTTGCGGTACTCGGGTGGATGTGCCAGTGTGCCCACTGCCATACTCGGATATCAGTATAAGACACAGCCTCCATTTGGGCTCCAGGAAAGATTATTTCGCGAATTCGCAAATTGCTATTTCCGAGCGTCATTGCCTTCCGAAAAGACGACTCTGGGGATTGGGGATTGTGATTGGGACCCGAGGACAACTCCTAGAGACTCTTTGATCCATCGTAGCTGCTTCTCTTTTCCCTTTTCTCTCTTTCTTTCGCATCGATCCCAATGCTTAACATCTAAATTACATCTATGATAATAACCTGAAGATCATTTTCTCCCTGTTAACCTCGCCGGACTGGTCAGCTCGTATTTCCCATGACCTGTCACGAGTCGGTTGGCGAGACTGATGAGGACTTTTCTACCAGTGTCTACATACGTATGTGCTATGCACGTGATATCGTACGTGCGAGATGAATCTTGAGTCTTCGTACGAGCTCGTTAGTGATCCTCTTGAGGATGCTGCGTCTAGCATTTTTCTCTGTGCGCTGTTACGTGAATTTAAAAAAAATTCTGACTTCAGCAAATATCCTTACCAGGACTATCGATACGGTCGACTTTTTTCAAGTCAGTTGAAAGAGTATCGAGAAATCAATCGTTCTCGAGATCGACTGACGTCATTAAGAGAACGGGGATTTCCCTCTCGTCAGAGGATCAGGAATCCATTGCAAGATTGGAATTTATTCTGAGAAGGTATCCGTAGTTGAAAAAAAATGTTACTTCGTCAAATTGACGAAAGACCCAGAAGCGCTAGAGTTTTATCTCATTTTTAGGGGCGCAGAGTTCAGAGAGTACTTGACGTTTCGTTGATTGACGAGTCAAAAGGGACGAAGGTTGTTTACTTCCGGTTCCACGGTTTCCGGCGGTCGAACCGGTAGCCGGTTTTAACTTTGGGTCAGCGCTAAAACAACAGTCCCTTCGCCAGGAAAGTCGGAACTTCTCGCTAAGGTCTAATCAGCAACCAATCAGTGGCTACGGTCGAAATCACCGAAACGGAGGAAACTCCGGTTTATCTACGAGGTCCTGGAAGGATCGGCTGACCGGAAAACAGGAGACACGGCCGACGTAAGCGGCATTAGGGCTAAAGGAATTACGCACAAAGGACGCGGTACGTGCCGCTCGGAATTAATCGAGCGTCTGCTGTCTGACGCAGAGTAATATCCGTATCATTAACTAAGACGCTTTTGCAATTAGCGTGACGTTACTTACGTTGTCTATAATGCAGACGAGATTTATGATAGATCCTACGTCGACGTGATGCTCCCCGCTTCCTAATATAAATGCCTCCGGTATCACTATATTTAGATTGACGAAGTGCGAGAGAATTCCTGTACTTCTTGCGACCTGAAACAAACGAAATTCGTATCGATATTATTTTCACGTTTGAATTTACCGCCGTATACATAGCTGCATAATATTTATTAATACGACAGCCGCAATGCGGCTTTTTCCGAAAGCATCAAAGTCCGGAGGATTTACGCGGTTTCTCATTCTGGGACATTAAGTGCAGGTCTATTGTCCTTCTCTCTCTCTCTCTCTCTCTCTCTCTCTCTCTCGGGCAGCATCCCTGAAACAAAATAAATTACCGCTGCCTGCAAGGTGCATACTTTTTTACGGCACTTTTTTCTTCCTCAGCTCCGCTCCTGGAGGCTGGCGGTTTCTTGGTTAAAGTCTGCTCGAGGTAGGAGTTAAAAGGTTCAAAGTTAATTTATAAGGCAGCTTCCGCGCACTGATGAATAAATAAGCGGAACGAATGGTCGTGTGACAATGACGTCGAAGAAAAATAGAACGAGGTGCTACAGCCGGGATGCTGCGTCTAACTCATTTTTACTTAGGGATTCGAGATGCTGTAAACGAAGGGATGGACCAGCTGAAGGAGAAGAGTGCCAATGAGTCAGGGATGCAAAGAGCGTTCGCACCTAGGCGAAGGTGGTTGGATATAAATTGGGGGGGATTCCGAGGGTTGTCCGGTTCCAGGTTCCATAATTTTCAAGATCAGCCGGAGATGAATGGCCGATGAAGATCTCGAAAATCCAGTGCGAACTGCCGATCAATTTTCTCCATCGACCGTGAATGCACGTTCGCCGGTCCACTTGAATGTCAGTGGGAGGAGATCCTTGGAAATTCAAGCTCTCCTCGGGATGATCGAGCTCCCTTCTATACATCTTCCCTTGGTCCTTACGCTTTCCCATTTTTTCTTTCTTCGGGTGTCTGCGCGGATCCGATCGGCAGGAAATCGTTCCCGGGACGATATATCACTTTACATCGGTATTCCGTCCAGAGACTCACCCTCGTGCAAACAAGGGTTCTTAACATAATCCGTATCCCGAAGGTTAACGAGACCGATGGTGAAGATGAAGAATACGCAGAGGTGCGTGTAGGGTCTGAGGTTGCTGGGGTGTCGGTGGAATACAGAGCGATAAAATAGAACGGAGGGTGGCGAGGAGGATGGAAAGGGCATCGGAATCTGGAAGGGAAAAAAAAAAATTCCAAAGCAGAAGAGATCGAGCCCTTCCGGAGGAGTCGTCAACCAGGATATCACGGTGGCTCCAGCCCACGTCCTCCCCCCTCGTGACGTATATCATTTTTCATCTGTACCACAAGCCTCGACTTCCACCCTCGAACCCGAGCGCAAACAAGCTTGGCAGCCACAGTTTAACATAATCCGTTTCAAAGGATTATCCCCTCATTATGTCTTCCGTTAGAGCGCTAGAGTCCGCGACCTTACGTGCCACTTGCTCCCTGATAATAATTTCCTCACCCGGACGCTTGTCCTTAACACACCCGACATTCATCCCCGGGACGGTACAGGAGCCTCCTGCCAGAATCTCCAATTTCAACCCTCCGATTGCTCCCGACGAGAAAGGACGCTTTATAGGAAAACAGGTAGCTACCCCGAAAAGACCTCGATTCCAGGAGTCAACTTGACGAATTCGAGGTACAATGAGAGCGAAACTCTTTGTGCCTTTTGTAGCCCCACTGCCTTCTGGTAATGAGGTATCCTTCGTCGCGGTGGCATTAGGAGCCCCTGGCTACGAGACCCCAAAGGTAAAGAAGAGATCCTCTAGGCTCGGCGGCCCCTGGGAACTCGGGAAGAAACTCGGGAAATGCGAAAGGATCCACGGCGCTTACTGCGCAGTTATCCCTTACTCCCGAGACCCGAGACCTCCCTGCATCCCTTAACGGAGACCTCACCTTTTACATTTGACTTTGCAGTTCGTCCTGGCCTACCCCCTTCCCTTGTACTTAACTGCGGGGGGGGGTAACAGGGCAGATTTTACCCTCCTAATTTCTAGGCCTTATCTTCTAATACTACCTTAAATTCTACTCTAACATCAACTCCCCCCCCA